TCTTGAACCGTGCGACGAGCTCCTTCTCAAAATCTTCCCATCGAGTTGGTTCGTGGTGGTTGTGGTAGAGCCATCACCACCAAACTTTGGCCCCTCCGTCAAAATAATTTGAAGCGTACTTTACCCAATCCTTCATTGGTAGATCTTCGAGGATGAAATATGCAAGAGCTTGCTTGAGCCATGCGTTTGGGTCAGCTCCATTGAATGTTGGAAGCTCCCATCTCCACCTTTCGTACCTCGGCCTTTTAGGGTTTTGACGGCTGATATAGCCATACTGTCGTATAACGGTTTACACTATCAAGGGTTCCAGAATTACCGAGTCGACTTAGCCAAAACCGACTCTTTCATCATATTCCCTATAATATCTCCAATTAGGGGTCCAAATACCCTCCGGTCGATTCCTACATGTCGACTAGTATAAGTCGATTTCCTGCGAAGCGACGGTCAAAAGCATATCAGGATCCATTAGCGATTGAGTATGACCCAGTCGACTCGAGTCGACTGGGTTAAGTCGACTGAAGAGGTCTGGAAGACCATAAATCCCGACAGCTCTGATACACTTCAGCATATCGAAGGGAAGCTAAGGATAAGGAAGGATCTAGAAGCTGACTAGAAAATGGACGGAATGCGAATCAACCGGGGTAGTTTGGACATTTCTAGTAAGTCGGCCGGGGTATTTTGGGGACTTCAGGTAAATGTTCCACTTCTATATATAAAGAAGTTGAGGTAACTCCAAAACCCTAACTCCCATTCATTCCATATTCTTCTCCATTGCTGCTGCTTCCTCAGAGCAGCTCTTTTCACTCTTTTCACATACTGACTTGAGCGTCGGAGGCTCTACGCCGGAAATCCCTCCGCCGTTGAGTTCTTGCAGGTGTTCTTACAGTTCGATAGCAATTTGGAGACCATCAAGACAGATCTGAGCTCGTTCTCATCGGTTCATTCCAGATCCGGGCGATTTTCCACCGGTTCACCCCAGATCCGAGGATAGACCCATCATTTGACGCCGTCTGTGGGGAGTTCTTGAAGGAATTAAGAGCTTTACACCTAGTTTGGATCTGTTTTCGATGGCTGAGAAGGAAGGATTGCAGAAAAACTTGAACGAAGATTTCAGGGCAGCATGGACTGACAAGCGACCTTCGCCAATTCCCAACCCCAAACCACCGCTCCAAGTGTTCAGTTTCCCTCCGTTTGGGGCACACGCGCCGTCAGAAAGGCACATGGAGGAAGAGACGCCTATTACTCCACCCGGAGTCAAGATCTCAGTTCTCACCCAAGGGGAGGCCAGTCACGTGAAGGACACGAGCGGAGAAGCGGATGGTCACGCATCGACCGAAACATCTTTGAGATTGGGGAGGCAGCCTGGGCGACTTGATTAGGAGACAAGGCCAACACCCCAAATCGAGGAACAAACACTGACCATGACGAGAAGCGAGATGCAGAGGATGATTGCCGAAGCTGTAGCAGCCCAAATCAAACAGACTCGAGTCGAGCAGCCTAGGGTCAAACATCTTAGGATCGAACAAGCTAGGGTCGAGCAGCCCCAAAATGAACAACAACCCCCTGAACGCGAACAGCAGGCGCAGTCACATGAAAGGCAGAACATGAGGGCAGATGAAGAGGAATCCTCTGTCAGGACTGTCAATCCACAGGCGAGAAACGACACCCTGGAGTAGTTGTTAGCGCATGTGCGAGATTTGCAGGCTCGAGTCGAGAGGAGAAAAACAGGAAGCTCAAGGGGACATCCTTTTTCACAACACATTCTAGATGTTGACTTACCTCAGGGGTTTAGAGAACTTAAAATCTGGTACGACGGGTCGACTGACCCCTCTCGACATCTGAGGAGTTTTGAAAACATGGCGGTGTTGCATAGCCACAATGACCCCGTTCAATGTCGAGCGTTCCTGACGACCCTGCGAGGACCAGCGCAAGATTGGTTCCATCAATTGCCCCCAGGAGCCGTCAGAGACTTTGATGGATTTAGCTCAAGTTTTCTAAACCAATTCGCGAGTGTAAAAGCCCAAGAAAAGTCTTACCTTACTTTGATAGGTATGCAACAAAAAGAAGGGAAATCATTGAGGGACTATGTGGCGAGGTACACTCGGGCGTGTGTCGACGTCCCCTCGGCCACTGAGGAAATCAAGTTGGGAGGACTACTCCCGGGACTGTGCAGAAATTCTCTAGCAAAGCGACCCAGAAGGACGTTCGACGATGTATTGGGAAGGTGCGCCAAGTATATGAATGTCGAGGAAGCCGAAGCCGACTTTTTACAAGCAGCTAAAGCAAAAACTGAGTCTCGAGACGAGAAGAAGGATAGAAAACCTGTCTCGACGGTTGAAAGGAACGGATCCCCGAAGTCAGAGAGAGAAGGCTGATCGAGGGGATGGAGGGCGACCCAATATACTCCTCTGTTAGCCTTGAATGCAAGGATATTAGAAGTGATAGAGAAAGAGATCCGCGAAAATATTGTCAGGTGGACACGAACAAGAAAGGATGGGCCGACAAAACCTAAAAGCAATCTGTATTGTCGATTTCATAAAGACTACGGCCATAACACCGATGAATGTCGGCACCTAAAAAATGAGATTGAGAGGCTAATCAAAGCAGGCCGTCTGAAGGAATTCATTTATAAGGATCGAGAGCGAATCAGTCGACGAAGGGAGAGAAGCAAAAGTCCTCACAAAAGAGCGAGGACACCCGACAAGGAGGAGCTCCCTCCGAAAACAGGGGTAATTCATATGATATTTGGAGGGCCGACTGATGGAGATTCAAATCAGGCCAGAAAGGCATATGCTCGAAGGCACCACGGAAAGATTGAAGTGCAGTAGGTCGAAGAAAATGGTCCAGTGATGAACTTTGGACCAGCAGACATGGGAGAAGTCGAGAGGCCTCACAACGATGCCCTAATGATCACAGCTCAGATATCGGGCTATGAAGTGCAAAGGACTTTGTCGACACAGGAAGCTCAGTAAATGTGATCTTTTACAATTGTCTTAAGCGGATGGAACTCGACATCGAGCTTGCACCCCTGCACACCTCGCTCTTCGGATTCAATGGCTCGGAGGTCGCACCCCTGGGAGAAACCACGCTCGCTGTCATCCTCGGGGAAGGCGACTTAAGGAAGGTAAAAATGGTGCGATTTGTAGTGGTCGACGTCGAGTCGGCCTATAACGTGATTTTGGGAAGACCCGCACTCAACACATTCCAAGCAGTAGTGTCAACGTACCACATGAAGCTAAAGTTCCCCGTGGGAGATAAGGTAGGGGAGGCTCGAGGAGACCAGAGATTGTCGAGAACCTGTTATCAAATAGCAGTAAGAACAAACCAACGGACGGAGGTAAAAGAAGGAAAAAAGCCGATGTGAAACGAAAAAGGCAAAGGGAGAGTGACCTAGAGCCACATGGAGAGTTAATGGAAATCCAAATCAGGGAAAAAGAGGAGCAGACCACTAAAGTAGGGAGAGAGTTGGAAGATGAGTTGCGTCAACAGTTAGTGGGACTGTTGAAAGAATTCAGGGACATATTTGCCTTTTCCCCTGAAGAGCTAACCGGAATTGATCCCGATGTCATGGACCATAAGCTTAATGTCGACCCCCTGAAAAAGCCTGTGAAGCAGCGGCATAGGCACCATGGCGTAGAGATCAACAACGCAATAGAAGTCGAGGTGGATAAGTTGCTGAAAGCCAAACATGTCAAAGAAATTCAATTCCCAGAATGGATATCAAACACAGTGATGGTGAGGAAGGCGCTAAATAAGTGGCGTATGTGTATTGATTTTCGCGATTTAAATTTAGCTTGCCCAAAGGACCACTACCCCCTGCCGAGGATCGACCAGCTGGTCGGCTCCACAGCTGGTTGTCAATTGCTAATTATGATTGACGCGTCCCAGGGATACCACCAAATTCCCTTGGCTCCTGATGATCAAAGAAAAGTTAGTTTCGTGACGAGCAAAGGGACATATTGTTATGTCGTTATGCCTTTCGGACTTAAGAACGCAGGGGCAACATACCGAAGGTTGATGGATCGAATGTTCAAATCGCAGATCGGGCAAAATATGGAAGTTTACGTGGACGATATCTTGGTGAAAAGTAGGTCCTCGATCTCGCATGTAGATGACTTGAGGGAAACGTTTACGACACTAAGAACATTTGGAATGAAGCTGTAAATGTGCCTTTGGAGTGAGGGCAGGATGATTCCTGGGTTATATCGTTACTGAAAGAGGCAACGAAGTGAATAAGGACAAAGTGCAGGCCATACTCGACATGGCCCCGCAAAAGAATGTTAGAGAAGTGCAAGTCCTGACAGGTCGAATTGCAGGCCTAAGTCGATTCATAGCTCGGGCGGCAGAAAAGAGTTTCCCATTCTTCATGTTACTCAAGAAAAAAGCTTTTCAGTGGAGTGACGAGGCTCAGATGGCGTTTGAAAAGTTGAAAGAGTTTTTGAGCGAACTACCGTTGTTAACAAAGCCGGAGCTGGGCGACAAATTGGTGCTCTATATCTCGATGGGAATCTTTTCTTTGAGTTATGTATTACTGCGAGAAGCTGGAGGGGCCCAACAGCCGATCTATTATACTATTCGAGTACTTCAAGGCGCAGAAGCGAGATATTCCGAAGTCGAGAAGGCCGCATTAACATTAGTGCTCACAGCCAGAAAATTGAGACCGTATTTCTTGAACCATGTGATAATAGTAAGGACGAATTTACATCTCGGAGAGACTCTGGGTCGACCTACCGTGTCAGGTCAACTCGTAAAATGGGCGATCGAACTTAGCGAATTTTCTATCAGATACGAACCTCGACGAGCTATAAAGGCCCAAGCTTTAGCCGACTTTATCCAGGAAGGGACTAAAGGGGCAAGTAAGAAATGGATAATGCACGTCGATGGGTCCTCGTCAGCCAGGGGATCTGGTCTGGGAGTAACCCTAGTATCCCCCGAAGGCGAACAGCTCGACTTCGCCATTAGAATGGGGTTTAAAGCCTCAAACAACGAAGCAGAGTACGAGGCTCTAATTAAGGGAATCCAACTAGAAATCAGGGGCGGAGCAACGGAAATCATGGCACATTCGGACTCACAACTGGTTGTGGGGCAAGTATTGGGAAATTGCGAAATCAAAGAGGATCGGATGATAAATTATGTCGAAGAAATTCAAAGCCTAGTGCAAGGCTTGGACAGCTTTGAGCTAACGCAAGTACCTCGAGAAGAGAATAAGCGGGCCGACTGGCTCGCAAGAATCGCAAGCTCGAACGAAAGAAAAATAGAGAATCATATTACCACACTACACTTGGAAGGAAGTGTCCTGAGTGAGACAATGGAGGTCGACGAAAACCAAGATTGGCGGAAAGCAATTCGCGAGCTATTACAAAGTCGAGTGCCAGAAGGAGATAAGCAGGAGGCTGAGAAAGCAGCCCGATATTTGAGTAAATATTTTTAGATCGAAGGAGTATTGTATAAGAAGTCGATGGTTGGGCCCCACCTGCGATGCGTTTCTGAAAAAGAAGGGGTGTAACACCCCGCTTTTCCTTAAATATCAGAGCGCGCTTTTTGCAATTACATTCAAAATAAAACATTTTACATTGCGAAGTACTGATTCGGAGTGCTACTAAAAATCATTCATTGCTTGGGAAATCCGTTACCTTTATTTAAATTTAACTTTGAAGAATAAATGGATTATTTAAGATCAACTAGCATGTAACACTTTATAAAGAAAATCTGTCTGATAAATCAATTTAAAAATAAAATCTGACATGCTAGTTGAAATATCGTAAAGTGACAGCGGAAGTTATGCGTGGCAAAACATAACTGTACAATAATGTACAATGGCTACTAGTCATGTCCCAAACAGCTCCGTCATCTCACTCCTCCGTCCCGACTTCGTGACCTGAAAAACATGATAATAGTGGGAGCGTAAGTACTAAAAACACTGTACTCCGCAGAAACTCATACTAAAGTAAACAGTGAAAATAATTACAATAACATGATCCTGGCATATACATGAACTGAACTAAACATAGCTTGATACCGGTAACCGTTGCCTCATAACCGTTGCCTCATCTGCCAGCATAAAAAT